TAAGGAGCTCATGCAGAGTCTGTAGGGTCATGTGCAGAGTTTGTGCATCTGAAAGGATATGGCCCCCAGTCCGACCTTTGTTTCAAGGGTATTGTTTAGATTTCCTGTTGTCAGGCAGTTAGTAGGTCTCCATTTTGGGGAGAGGGTCACTTGAGCTTGTTTTCTTCTTAGTGGTATCACATTTCCCTGATTCTCCAGGATTATTGGAATCTACACATTTAAAGCAGTCACGATTTCAGTACAGTCATTCCTCATTTAATGACCAAATTAACTTCCTGCTAGTAGATTGCTAACTGCGGAATTGTGTATGTATGTACATTACAATATTTAGAACAAAGAAATGGACAAAGAAAATTCCAACTTGATGACTTTTCTTTTCTCTGCATGCATCTTACATGTAGTCCTGTAATGTATGAGAAAATAAAACTATATAACTCTCCTATACAGTACAATCAGAAAAATTACAGTACTGTATAAACAAGGTTTACTGTACAAAAAAAGACATTGAAGCTCTGTAAAGAAGATGTACAGAATTGTACCAAAAAAAGATGGGTTAGAAGTTCAAGTAGCATGTGGTAAGTCTGAACAGCCCACCTTGGTTTTAAGTCTGAACACCTGTTAAGCAGGTACTTGATGAAACAAGGAATATCAGACTTCCACACTGAATTTTAGACATACACCTGTTTACCCTCCCTGCAGAGGTGCTGGGGACCAGCAGGGGACACTCAGGGCCAGCAGAGTGCACAGGTCACCAGGAGGTCACAGTGGGGACCAGCAGGGAACTGAGGACCAGGAGGGAGCACAGGGAAATAGAGTTGCTCAGGGGATACCAACAGCTGGTCTCAGAACCAGTTGCAAAAGCAACAGTTGTATCTTTCCTTTAGGTACTGAAATTGATCTCCTGCTTCTATTTGTAGACAAAGAAGACTATTGAGATTGGAATTAAGAAATCTAAGGTATAAATAATGAGCAAAATGAAAGATAGATACAGTAATAGAAAATAGGGAGATAGATCTTTTGCAAATGGGAAGGGGGCTAAGGGATCGAGGGAACAGAAAGGGAAAGAAAGGAAAGGAATTTAAAAAGAATTAAGATGTGTTATGTACATGTACTAACTCCCTGGGAGGACTGTAATTATTACATACTACAAACATGTATTAATAAAAAATTAAATTAAAAAAACCAATAAATTATACATTGAGTATTAAAAAAGACTCTGTGGTCCTGGTGGATGGACAGACACATAGAACAATGGATCAGAAGTTAAATGACCTTCAAATAGCTCAGTATTTCTTAGCTGTGACATAGAAAGCATATTTATTAAAAATGAGGAAACATAGTCAAAACAACATGCTACATATAAAAGCAGATGCATTGTTCAGTGGAATGGGATAGAGAGCCCAGATATAAATGCATAAATTTCCCATGGGACAATTTTTTCCAAAGAGGACAAGAGCAGACTGGAGAAATAGCACTCTGATCAATAAGTGGAGTTGGAGAAGCTGAAGGCTTGTTTCATAGTTTGTCATAGTCAACTCAGAGTAAAGACTTGAACCTATGACTGGGAAGTGTAAATTTACAACACACACACACACACACGCACACACACACAGTCAAGTTCTAAGATGTCAGTATGGGCAAGATGTTTTAGATATGACACCAAAGTAGAGGAAACAAAGAGAAAACAGACAAAACTGACAGAACTAAACCATAGGCTTCTTGAAACCAAACAAAATAATTAACAGAGTAATGAGTCTTGGGATCTCAAAACCTCAACAGGAGAACACCTCAACAGGAAACAGGAAAAAGGGACCTTACTAGAAGCTCTGCATCAGGTCCTAGTCTCCTGTGAGCTATGACAGCACAAGGCGAATTAACTTATTATACAGGAAAAAATAGAAAAAATGAGACTGTGAGAAGAAGCTGAGCTTTGGCCTGATCAATGCTGCTCTGGCTGGCAAAGACGAAAAACCTAGAACCTGCCACGCCTTTATTCAATACATCGGGAGAAACAAATGTCTCAGGACAGAGAGTTCAGTTTGGGAGAAACAAATGTAACAGATGACTCAGGGGGCAGCAGAAATCCTAGAATAATGAGAAATTATGCAGATGAAGATTTTGTTCCTCCCAGGATGTCTTCAGCTGGTGTAATCTTGTCCTGGAGCATCACAGCATCACTGGATCATTGAGGTCTTAGCTGTGACCAGAGGCCAAAATGGAGTTATGTCTCAACATGCCATAGCTGGCCTAATCAAATGATTTTTCCCCAAAATTATGTAGAATTGCTACTGACAAAATACCCTTTCCACCTTCACATAAAGAGATTGCCAAACTGTGGGACAAGATCAGACCAACATATATTTAAAACAGTGAGTGGGTGCATTATTCCTGGTCTTACCCGTGTACTTTTTCTCTACCCGAATCTCCCTACTTTTTCACCCTGAGGGTAATCACCCCTAAAAGGTTCCCAGTAAGCAGTGTTTCCAAGCTTCTTGCCCTTGTGGTCATCAATCACCTCCACCTCAGCAACACAGAACCAGCCTTCAGCAGGAGGATGTGCTGGGACTCACACTGTGTGGACAAACAGCCTGCATTGATGCATGGTACAGAGACAAGAAATTCCATATGATTAATAACAAAACTCAATGAGTTTATAGTTGAGTGAGCTCTCAGGAAACCCTCAGTGCTATCTACCCTACTATACATCACTTAGGTCTAAAAAATTCTCTGTTAATATGTTACAACATATTAATGTCTGCCAAAGTTGTGTGGCTATACATTTACAATTACTATATATTTTTAAAATTAAGTTTATTGGTACATTTTAGGTATACGATACAGTTACATTCATCATTGGGAATTGTACCTTTACATGATGCATCTTGGTTCTTATTTTTTCCCCATTCCTCTGCCCTCCCTTCACTCTCTCCACCCTTCCCTATTTACAAAGACTTTGTTTCCATTTTTTCCTTTTTTCATATTTTCTTTTCCCTTCTTTTCTTTTCCTTACCCCTCACACTTCTCCTACCCCTTTTCTTCCTATTTTACATTATCAATTATACATTTTGATCCATATTTACACTTTTGGTTTTTCACACCAGAGAAACTATGTGGTATTAACACATTTGTGTCCTATTTATTTCACTTAAGAGTATGGCCTCAATGTGCATCCATTTAGCTATAAATGTCTCTAGTTTCTCATCCTTTATGGCTGAGTAGTACTCCATCTTATAAAAAAACCACATCTTTATCCAGTCTCCAGTTGATGGGCAATTGGGCTGTTTCCAAGTTTTACCTATTTAAAAACTGTGGCACTATAAACATGGGTGTGCATATATCACTGTGGTATGATTCCTTTAATTCTTTTGGGAAGATACCCAGCAGAGGAATATCTGGGTCAATGTGACCTCTAATCCTAGTTTTTTTTGGCATCTCCATATTGATTTTCACAGTGGTTGCACCAGTCTGCACTCCCACCAACAATGGAGAAGGGTTCCTTTTTCCCCAAGCCCCGCCTTCATGTTATTGGTTGATTTCTTGATAGCAGCCATTCTTTATGGAGTGAGATGGAATCTCAGTGTTGTTTTCATCTGCATCTTTTTTGGGGAGGGTGCTGGGGGTCGAAATCAGGACCCTGCGCTTGCAAGGCAGGCACCAGAACCACTGAGCTAAATCCACGGCCCTTCATCTTCATCTCTTGAATGACCAGTGGTGTTGATCATTTTTTCATGTTTATTTGCTGCTTTTACTTATTTGTCTGAGAAGCATCTGTTCATTTCAGATGCCCATTTTTGAATTGGGTCTTTAAATTTGGGGGTCTGATTTTTTAAAGTTCTTTATATATTCTAGATAGTAGTCCTTTGTCTGAGGAACAGCTGGTAAATTTTTTTTCTCACATTGTAGGTTGTCTCTTAGCTCTGTTGGTTTTTCTTGCAGTGAAGAAGCTTTTTAATGAGATCCCATTTGTTGATTCTTTGTGCTAGCTCCCATGCTACTGAGGTTTTGTTCATAAAGTCTTTTCCTTTACCAATGTCATCAAGAGTTCTACCTAACCTATCTTCCAGAAAGTTTAGTATTTCTGCTTTAATATTTAGATATTTGATCCACTTCAATTTTAGTTTAGTGCATAGTGAAAGGTATGGTTCTAGTTTTAATCTTCGGCAGGTTGAAATCCAGTTTTTCCAGTACCATTTATTAAAGAGGCTATCTTTCCTCTGGTCAGGGTGGTTGGCTCCTTTGTCAAAGATGTGGCTGAGTATGTCTGGAGTTCTTTCTGCATCTTCTAATCTGTTCCATTGATCCTTGAGTCTGTTTCTTTGCCAGTACCATGCTATTTTTATCACAGTGGCTTTGTAGTATAGTTTCAAGTTGGGGATTGTGATCTCCCGTCATGTCTTTGTTGCCTAGAATTACTTTTGCTATTCTAGGTCTCTTCTGGTTCCAAATAAATTTTTGGATTGTTTTCTCTAGTTCTGTGAAGTATATTGTTGGAACTTCAATCAGCATTGCATTAAATCTATACAGTAGTTTTGGAAGTATGGCCATTTTCACTATATTAGTTCTTCCTACCCAGGAGCAAGGGATGTCTTCCCATTTTCTTATATCCTCTTCAATCTCTTTTTTTACAGTGCTGTAGTTTTCAATGTAGAGGTCTTTTGTTTCCTTTGTTAGATTGATTCCTAGATATTTCTTTTTCTTTTGGATGCTATTGTGAAAGGAATTGTTTTCCCAATTTCTCTCAGTGTGTCTGTTATTTGTGTAACAGAAAGCTATTAAGTTTTCAGTGTTGACCCTGTATCCAGCTACTCTGCTGAATCTGTCAATTAAGTCTAGAAGTCTTTTAGAAGTTTTTTTGGTCATCTATGTAGAGTATCATTCTTCCTTTCCTGTCTTTATTCCTTTTCTTTCTCTTGTCTAATTGCTGTGGCCAATGTTTCCAGAACTATATTGAGCAGGAGTGGTGATGGTGGACATCCTTTCCTTGTTGCTGATTTTAGTGTGAAAGATTTTAGTGTGAAAGATTTTAGTTTTTGACCATTTAGTATGATGTTGGCTGTTCATAGATAGCTTTTATCATCTTGAGATAATGTTGATATCATGTTGAGATAAAGACCAGCTATTTCAATTTTCTTTATGGTTTTTATCACAAATGGGTGTCAGATTTTGTTGAACGAAAAGTAGTCATTACCATCACCCAGACACCACCTCTGACTGGGCACTTTTGTTTTATTTTTTCCTGTCTATGTATCACAATCTCCGTAACTGTGGCCATCAGTATGACCCCAGACACAGCTTTGTGGATATGGAAATTGACATTTTTTCTATCCCTCAATTTTCACTTCATTAAACCTACAGTATATAAAGGTATCAAGGCATTTGTGTGTAGGACAGGTAACATGTTGCTTATTTTTGTTTTGTCGGTGAAGTCATTTCCCATGACTGTATTCTCCAGTCCTACTGCCTTTTCTACAAGAGTTAAACATTCACTCTGCAAGGCTCCCTGGCCAGAGAGCTTAGAAAGTTTTCACAGGAGATAGAGATGAGCCAGAACTTTTCCTTTAATTTTAAATATTTCAGTTCAACCAGAAGATGGGCATATACCAAGGCATTTCATAATAGGATCCATAATAACACGAGTACACTCTGGACATGACAAAATCAAGTCACAAAAGATTCTCCTTTGGAGAATAAATGGAGACTGAGGGAAAGACCAGATGACAGAACAATTCATGAGTCATGGCACATGGGCCAGAGAAAGACAAAATAGAGGTAGAAGAGAGTAGAATTACACTTCAATATTTCAGTGAAAAGAGTATTGAGGAATACATTAAGGTGCATAGAACACACTCCACCCACTTTCTCTCCAATTCTGCTCTCCATGATATTTCCCTTCCTGTAATATTCTTCTACAAAGAGTACTTTCATTTATCAAGGGCTTTATAAAGATGCCTTAGTAATCAATGCATGTATTCCATTGCATTTACTTCCCATGCAGATGCACATCATTCTATGGAAGGCATTGAAGAGTCACTCATTAGACAAACTCTTTGAATACTCCCAAGCTAATTGATTCTTTTCACTCAACCGTGTTGTTACTGTTTTGAATATTGGATATATTTGTGTGATATGAGAAATTTATTTTAAGGAAATGAATGTAATGTATACCGAAAGACTGGATCACACTGTCATGCAATCTCATGACAATACAGCAATAAATAGACACTGACCAACACCGTGGTTTCAGTCTCTACAAATGTGGAAATTGAAGGGTAACTGTAAACATTTTTGTCCTCTGGATTTCTAACTGGCTCATCTCAGATTTCAAACCATTAACCCATTATGAGATTTAGTACATTCCCCAAAATTCCTGCATTGCAAACTGAATATCTAATGATGACAGTTGAGCTATGGGCCCAGTAAAATGTGAAGAGCATGAGTGCTTTTCCCTGATGAGAACAGTGATGTTATCAACATGAGAATGGCTTACAGTTAGCATCAGCACAGCTTTCCCTTGCTTTTTATCTCACATATGCTTATCTGCCCTTCATGTACTGTGTAGAACAGAAGACTTGACTACATTTTTGTGCCATGCTCTTGGAATTTCCAACCTGAAAATGTGTAGTGGATGTGTTTAGGTTCTTTTTAGTTCCTTATATTTGACACTATGATATAAGAACAGAAAATATATAAAAGCACTCATATTCTTGACTGAATAAGAAAGCCATTATTATTCCCATTCCAGGATAAGACAGCAGCATCCTGGAAGTATGAATATGAGAGCATGTTGAAGTTGATTGGACAGAACCCCCCCCCTTTGGGGGGATATATTAAAAAATTAAATGTATTAAAATATATATTAAAATTATATATTAAAAAATTAAATCTTCCTGGTGGTGTAGAGCCCACTATAGGGATAAGTATATTCATAACATACACATACATTTTCACTTCTCCAGAGTAACTTATGAGAACTTGAGATATTTTCATATTTCTCGGGCTTCAGGTGCCTCATCAGTAAAAGCAGTCAAAACTGCACCTGAAAAAGGTCCTTTAGAAGATTCCAAATATAATGCATGGACAAAGACCTGCATACTGGATGTACACACTTTCTAAATACATGTTTACAGGGCATTGAATGCAGACTTGAACTTTTGATATGCTTGCTAAAGAAATAATTCTGGCCTTCACTACACATTCTACAAATTAGGTCTGAAAGATGGAAAAAGGCCACAGATGTGAAATGTGCCCCTTAAAAACCTAGTGGGGTGTTTTCATTTTGAAAGAAGCCAATAAAGACATTACTACACTAAGCTGTGAGGTGGTAGAGGAAGGTGGAAAATGCCGAGTAGGGTTATATTACTCAGAGCATGTAGAACTCACTGGTGTAGAAGTTAATGGAGTGGGTTTGATAGAAGTCAGGTATTTTAGTTAAGAGAGAGGTGTGACCATGCTGAAATTCCTTTGGAAAAGAATTGGCAAGTGGGGAAATGAAATGCATTTGGAAATATACTGTACTAGCCTGAAATAATAGTGAAATTAAAACTTACATCACACTGCAGATTCTATGCTGATCCTCTGATGACCTCAGAAACTGCACCTTGAACATTCTTTTTCTGCCTTCTGTAACAATTTTTGGCTATGCTAAGAGCTCAATTTCAGGCAGCAGGCACTGATAACATGGGAAATTATTTTATGAGCCTGGCAAAAACCTCTGTCATTTACTTTTACTATTTGAGGACCTCAAAATAAATGGTGATCAAAGTTGTCTTTTCAAGAATAATTTGTGCCTAATTCAGTTCATGACATCTACAATTGCATTATTTCTAAATTCTAATTGAAAAAGATTGCTTAAATTTTTGTCTTCAAAATACTTTTAAGTGTGTACTGTATATCAGCATAAAAACTGCTGGAGGACACACACAGTCTCATGCAATCCACTACACTGCTCAACACAATAAAACCTCATATAATGGTTTCTGTGTTCTGAATGTTTAGTTACCCCAAAATGCATTTTTTAGAACCTCATTCCCAAGGTGATGGTACGAGGAGGTGAGGTCTCTGGAATTTGTCATGAGTGAAGAAACCTCAACAATGACACATATACGTGTAAAAGAGGCCAATGACACCTTGTACACCTCCCTGTCTTGTGAGAACTCGGCTAAAAGTCACCATATGGAAACAATGTCTCACTAGATATTGAAGTTGTCAGTGCTTTGTTACAGAATTTCCTAGGTTTCACTACTGGGAGAAAATTAATTCATAAAGTAAACAATCCTATGGTATTTTGGTTAGGTTTGGTACCATGTACTAAGACAGGGTCTATATATTTTGTTGAATGGTATGGCATACAAATAGCCATGGTCGAATCCAGATAGTAAAAACATTACATGTTCCGGTTTGCTAATGCAACCTGATAGACGCACATGACCTGGTGCATGTGTATACCTACTTCATCCCCCTCACAAAATCACATAATCACTGCCATGGGTAACCAATTGAAGTGCACGCAATGGACTGCTGCTTAATCGGTGTCAATACATTTAGTTGGAGCCTATGACAAAGATAGATGTTTATAAGGAATTCAGTACTAAAGAAACCTGCAACAGAGGTCCAAAGGCATTTTACATATTTTCAACACATCTTCTGATAAATCTTTAGGAAGCAGAAAAAAGTATGAAATGTCTTTAAATATTTAAGTATTATGCTTCTTAATTAATACACGTTTGGAGTACATGTCCACATTTATCTTAGAGACCAGGCCTATGTATTTGATTCTTACAATTTCTCCTCCCCTCCTCACCTACCACCCTCCCTCTGGCTTGAGATCACCTTTCCTCATTTCATCATCATTATTAAATTTATTATCATTATTATGTTTTTGACATATAAAGACTGCATTCATTGTCAACACTTGGTACATGACATGAAATCTTACATCTCCTTCTTCCCATCCTTGGCCTCCTAATCCCTTACATTTGCCAATGAGCTGTTTCCTTGTATATGTCCATTAACAGATGAATGAATAAAATATGGTCTCTATACATAATGGAATACTACTTGGCTATAAAGAAGGGTATATTCAGGCCATTCATAGGAAAATGGATACACTTTGAAAACATGTTAAGTGAATTAAATCAGACAAACAAGCTTAAGTGCTTTTAAAATGTAGAAAGTTTTCTGAACACATATATAACAATTTTCTGTCAAAATGGGATGAAATGAACTCAGGAAAATGTCAATTGTTTCCAAATTATATCTTCAAAAAACTATTTTACATTTCCAATGAACCAAGTATAAATCTCACCAAAATAATCAACACTTTTAAGAATATCCAACAACCTTTGGACCAACTAATACTGAATACTTTCAGAAATAAATATAGTATAAACTAAATTACATTTGTAAAAACTGAAGAGATTCTGTGGACACATCATGAAACCATAGATGTTATTTTTGCTAACTTAATTTTATTCATTTCATTTAACAAAAAATAATAAAATCATGTATTGAATGTTTACAGTGTGATGTGTTGCTGTTTATATTGCAAAATTATCACATTCTTCTTTGATAGCATTTCCATCACCTAACACAATTACCTTTTGGGTATATGGAGAAAACACTAAAAACAACTTCTAGCAAATTATAATTCTGTGTGGCACTGCATCAATCCCTGTAGTAACTACAGGATTTATGCCATTTTGTACTCTAGAAGAAAAACATTGTGCTTTCTCATTAACATCAACTTACCCACCTACACACATGGCAACCATCACTAAACTCTCTCTTTAAAGTTGTCAATTTTAGATGCTAAAAACAAAGATGATCAAGTTTTCTCTATGCATGGCACATTTCACATAATGACGTTTTGGTTAATCTACATTGTCACAAATGGAGGATTTCATTTGAGACAATAAAATTTCACTGTGTGAATAAACTTCACTTTACCTTATAACTAAGGCAATGGTTTGCATGTAAAATGTCCCTTAAAGGCCATGTATTGAAGACTTGGATACAAGGTGCTTTGTTACTCTGAATTTAACATTATAATGCACTTTCCAAACTCATCAGTCCATTAATCCATAAATATATTGGAGAAAGACATTCTCTGCATGTGTGCTTTGAAAGTGTTATCTCATCCCTAACACACCTATCTTGGTCATTCTGACTCTTAGCTCTCTCATGTTTGGTATTTATACTAAATCTCATTTTAAGTTTGTGCATGTTTTCTGATGTTATGAGGATCACAAAAAGCATTCACACATTATTTACATAGGCTTTCTCTTCAGTGGGAGTTCTTTCACTATTTTCAAGGTATGTGGAAAATGGAAGGGTTCCTATATTTATTGCATACACATGGCTTTCCTCTCTTGTGAATTTTCATTAACTTGAATGCATTGAGAAAAAAAAACATTTCCCATACTGTTCATTCTCTGTTCTATGAATTATTTCAGGGATGTAATAATACACGTGTACTGAAAGATTTTTTATATGCATACAAAGAAAGGGCTTCTCTGCACTGTCATTTCAGTTCATTGCAAGTCACTTTATATATTCAAAGTTAATTTCCTCTTTTTTTTAAAGCATATGATGATTATACTAGAGTAACTGAAAAGTTTTTCTATATTACTTGCATACGTAGGGTTTCTACACTGTGATTCCTTTCATGCCTTTGACAATCCTTGTGAGTAGTGAAAGCTTTCCCACACTGCTTACATACATAGGGTTTCTCCCCAGTGTGAATCCTTTCATGATTTTGACAATGACTATGTCTGGTAAAAGCTTTCCCACACTGCTTACATACATATGGTTTCTCCCCAGTGTGAGTCTTTTCATGTTTTTGACAATTACCTTGTGTCCCAAAAGCTTTCCCACATTGCTTACATACATAGGGTTTCTCCCCAGTGTGAATTCTTTCATGTATCTTACATTCACTACGCCTGCTGAAAGCTTTCCCACATTGGTGACATACATAGGGCTTCTCCCCAGTGTGAGTGCTTTTATGTTTTTGACAAGAACTGTGTGTGGTGAAAGCTCTCCCACATTGCTTACATACATAGGGTTTCTCCCCAGTGTGAGTCCTTTCATGTGTTTTACGATGACTCTGTGTCCTGAAAGTTTTTCCACATTGCTTACATACATAGGGTTTCTCCCCAGTGTGAGTCCTTTCATGTATTTTACATTGATTGTGCCTGGTGAAAGCTTTCCCACATTGCTTACATACATAGGGTTTCTCCCCAGTGTGAGTCCTTTCATGTATTTTACAATGACTCTGTGTCCTGAAAGCTTTCCCACATTGCTTACATATATGGGGCTTCTCCCCAGTGTGATTTCGTTCATGTCTTTGACAATAACGGTGTGTGCTGAAAGCTTTCCCACATTGCTTACATATATAGCATTTCTCCTCAGTGTGAGTTTGTTCATGTATTTGACAAGAACCATGTGTGCTAAAAGCTTTCCCACATTGCTTACATACAAACAGTTTCTCCCCAATGTGAGTTCGTTCATGTCTTTGACAATAACTGCGTGTGGTGAAAGCTTTCCCACACTGCTTACATACATAGGGTTTCTCCCCAGTGTGAGTCCTTTCATGTGTTTGACAATTACTGTGCATGCTGAAAGCTTTTCCACATTGCTTACATATATAGTGTTTATTCTCACTGTGAGTTTGTTCATGTTTCTGACAAGAAGAATGTGAGATGAAGTTCTTCCCACATTGCTTACATACGTAACGTTTCTCTCCAGTGTGAGCTCTTTCATGTATTTTACAATAACTTTGTGTGCTGAAAGCTTTCCCACATTGCTTACAAACATATGGCTTCTCCCCAGTGTGAGTTCGTTCATGTCTTTGACAACGACTCTGTTTGTTAAAAGCCTTCCCACATTGCTTACATACATAGGGTTTTCCTTCAATGTGAGTTCTTTCATGATGAATAAATGGAGTATTGCTATTTAAGGATTCCCAACAGTGTTTATATACAGGGGATTTTGTTCCAGTGTGAGCTCTTTCATGTTCCTGAATATTATGGTGAGAATTCAAACCTTTTCCATGTTGTATATATATATAGGTATTCACCCTAATGTCATTTCTTTCCTGAACTTGAACATAGTTGGGTGTACTGAAGGTTCTCACATCTTGCTTATATTCAAAGGATTTTTCTTCAGTGTTACTTCCTTCAATATAATCAGAGTAGGATTTTCCACATAGCTTATATCCATAGCGTTTTTCTTCAGGATCTGACTCTGCATGTTTCTGAATGGACTGAAAGTCAGTGGAGGTATTCTCATGTCTGTTACAGTTAGACAGCTTCTGTTCAAATCCATGGAGTTCATATGATTTGAGTCCAGCATTATGTATGATAGGCATGGTTGGTGATGAATGACCAATCACAGGCTTTCCATATGCAAGGTTTTCACCTGCTTTTATACCAAGAAGTTTCATGTGCACATTTGTATCAGGAATCATAAAAACCATTTTTCCATGTTGATACCATAATTTATATTGAGAGCACTTATCTACATCTGCACTTCTGTCAAAGAAAAAATAACAAAACAACCAGTCACATTTAAAAATGTCTTTATATTAATGGTTCACCAGGAAGAGATCTGATTTGATGCCCTGTAAGCATATTTGATCACGAACTTACTGTACACTCTGGATGATGCCTCGGAAACAGCTTTTACCAAAACAATATTCATTTGGGAGTTTGGAAGTGATATGTTTGCAATATATACTGGTTACTTTCATTTTGCGTAGTTGGGATATATGTATATTTTTCCTTCATGACTCTACCCCTGAGCATTTTCACCCTCTCCAAAATGTCTGCCTCTCTTTTTTCTACCATTTCTTCTTTATTTTATTTAATTCATATTTTGCATTTGTCATACAAAATGCAACACATGATATTGAATTTTCTGTGCTTATCTTATTTAACATAAAATGGGTTCCAGATCCATGCATTTCTTGGCAAATGACATCATTTAATTCTCCTTTACGGCTGAATGCCATTCCATTATATGTACACAACACATGATTTTCAGTGCTGGAGACTGATCCAATGGTTGTGGCACTGAGCTACATTCTCACAGTTATTTATCTTTTATTACGAGACTGAGTCTCACAAGCACTACAATGGCCAGGCTGAGCATGAATCTGCCTCAGCTTCTCAGTATGCTCCTTCCCGCCCATTTTCCTTTCTACTCATCTGTGAATGGGCATCTAGGCTGTTTAATCAGAACAGAGGTATTCTTTTAGGTTTTGAATAGCTCATCAAGGTTGCAATTACTGAATGTGCATACCACATTTAAATACATACAGCATTAATTACTTAATTTGTTTGATAAGAAAGTGGTCTTTTCAAAATATATATATATGTAATTAGATATCCTGCACTTGGCTCTCAACTAAACACAAATTTTTCACATATTCCTTTAATCAATGCCTACATACAATTTCATATAACAGTTTTATAATCTTGAGCATGGGAACTACTTTGTTATTACACATTAATGTCACTTATGGCATAATTTCAATATTCTCTACATTTCAGATATTGAAATATTTCAAATATTCCATTGTCAGATTCTAGGCCCTAAGCATGCACACATTTTTGGAGAACTTTGGTGCAATTAAAGAAATTTGAACATGGCTTCATTTTGTTCATTTGATTTTTGAGACAAGGTCTTCCTATTTAGTTTAGGCCAGCCTTGAACTCACTATGTAGCACAGCCCGGCCTCAAAGTCCTAACAATCCTCCTGCCTCAGTCACCCAAGTGCTGTGATTACAGGCATGTGCCAACATGTCTGGCTCTCTGTATTTTTTAACATGGCCTTGTTTGTTTAGTTTGCTTGGTTTTAATATTTCTGACTTTTGAGGAACATTCTTGGGAGCACAAATCACCTTAATTTTTTCCTGAAATTTTTGTACTCATCTTCAATTTGCTGGTCATCCCAGTTTCCTCCTAAAGTATAGAAAAAAAATACATAATGATGAGTTACTACATTACATAAAAATTATTACCATCTGTTTATATTCATGGTATAATGTGACCATGCCCAGAAGATTCATGAAAATATTTCCATATTCCAATGAAGTGAACTGTACTGATGAGCAATAACCAATGCTCTCTGCATAAATGAGAACTGATTTCTTCCTTACCTATAGCAGCCAGATTCCTAAAGTTTTCCCACATCACATCTCTGTGGAGCTTCTTCTGGGATGGATCCAGCAAAGCCCACTCCTCCATGGTGAAGTTCACAGCCACATCCTCAAAGGTCACTTCCTTCTAAATCATCAGAAATATATTTCCAGGAAGAAGAATAAGACTCACAACATGAAATACCTCAAATCTACTCATAAAAGCCAAAACAAGGCTGAGTCCCACAGATGGTTACTTCATACCTTGGTCATCAGATACTTAATTTTTATTTACATACACTTGTCACACCAGAATTTTTATGCTAGATGGGATTCCCTGCTAAAGAAACAGCAGAATGGGAACATTGGTTCTCCTGCTGGTTAACCCCAGTTTTATTTCTACACTGTCTGTAAAGCATGGTTCATGGAGAGAGTGGGGTAAAAAGAACTGGGCTAGATGAATATCTAATAGACTTTGATAAAACAGAAAATATATCTATTTTCAAATTATTCTTTAGGAAATATCCCTCCCTCTTATTCTTCTTTTTCTTTTTGGTACCAGGGATCGAACTCAGGACCTTGCGCTTGCAAGGCAGGTGACGATGTCCCTGAGCTAAATCCCCAGCCCCTCCCTTCCTCTTCTGATTGTATTTAGACAGCATTGGGAAACTTGAAACTGTAGACAAAACCGTAGTTAAACACAAAGTAAAATTCATGAATGGCAATTTTTTTTTTAATGTACCGGGGATTGAACTCAGGACCTTGCGCTTGCAAGGCAGGCGCAGTGCCACTGAGCTAAATCCCTGGCCCCATGAATGGTAATTTAAAATATTAATGAAAAGTATTACACTATTCATTGGAGAATGTCTAACAATGAAATTAGATTAAGGAAGATATTATTTTGTAGCTCAATGACATGAAATGCTTACCTGTCACAGAGATAAAAATTTCAAAGATGTAATAGAAAGGGAAATGTGGGGATGGACCAACTAACTGAATGCCAGGCCCCTAGGGCTAGGGCTATGCACCTGGCCTACAGAGGGTCATGGGACTGAGTGTCCCCTCCCAGCCATACACTGTGGCCCATATGCCCAGGCCAGGGTGAGCCCTAGGATTGACCATCCTGTCTGAAATTGAGAACAAATGGCAAATTATGCTGAAGTGCTCAAAGAGACCACAAGAAAAAAGAAGAAAAGACCATCCAGCAACTACTGGACAACATTAAAAAAGACCAACTCAAGGCTAACTGGAGTTACAGAAAAGCTAGATAACATAGATGGATTTATTAATATGGTTACAAAAATCACAGTAGAAAAATCCCCAAAGATGAGAAGAGTTAAAAATAGAAGTGAGGCTTAAAGAATACCAAAAAATTATGACGGAAAAAGAAGCTCAACAAGGCATATCCTTATTAAACTGCCAGATATCCAAAAACAACAACAAAAGGGCCAGGGATTTAGCTCAGTGGTTCCACAGCCTGCCTTGCAAGCGCAAGGACTTGAGTTCAATCCCCAGTACCAAAAAACAACAACAACAACATGAAGGAATAAGGACATTTCATGAAAAAGTCCAGCTCAAGAGACATATGAATGACAAAGTAGCATTTTGGAAAATACTCAAGAATATCCTAGAAACACTGCAGCCATACAGATACTCCTTGCTTAATGACCTACATGTTTTAATGATTGGGTTTACAACTGAGGCATGTTGTTTCTGATTTATGACCTACCTACTGTTTTGTACAGTCCTGGTCATATTGATAGAGCCTTGATGTCTTTCTCTGTATAGTATACCTTGTTTATACAGTACTCTAATTTTTGCTGATTGTACTGTACAATAAGTACTTAAATTTTATGTTCTGTTATATATTACAGTACTGCATGTAAGAGTTATGCAAATAAAAGTAAAGTCCACAAGTTGGCATTTCCTTTGACCATTTCTTTGTCCTGAATACTGTAAAGTACATACTGTATACAATTCCTCATTTAGCACCTCATTCATTTAGTGATCTAATCACAGGGATAGGACTCAGGCATTAAATGAAGAATGCATTTAGCATATCAGATTTTAGGCACATTCACTAAGCATGTTGTGCAGGTAAGCACAGCATTCATGAAAAGACAAATGTCTTCAAACAATGTATTATTTCTATAATGTCTAATGCTTGGGACAAATCAGCTACCTAATATATTCTGGGTACTGAGACAAAAAAAGCAACTTCAAGAAATACATGGTTTCCTTGTTTAGTTGCAGAAGGCAGTGATTTGGAGCATGGCTATGAGACCCACTGATCACACATGATACAGGCAAAACAGCTGTGACAAAGGGCCAGAAAAATTCATCAGTGCACTCTTTCTATTGGGCTTAATGCTAAAGAGTATTTGCTTCCAACAGTTTCTCAGTGGACAATAAAGCTGATTTATTTGGAGTTAAATTCTCAGATATGAACAAACTCTTTAAAAGTAGTGCTACCTTTGAAACTTTTTGGTATGTAGAAATGCCTCATATCATATGTTTGCACATATTTTCTCAAAGGTTATATATATATATACTTCCAGACCACAGGAAATAATTAAAAAGTTAATTATCACAGCTATTCTTGTTCTATGATGTGATTATGTGTGGGTTTTTTTTGAGACATGGTCTCTTTTGTAATTGAGGCTGGCCTTAAACTCATGTAGTCCAGGCTGGCCTTGTACTCTTGGTAATCCTCCTGCCCCAGACTCTCAAGTGCTGCAATTATAGGTATGTGCGACAGCACCTGGTGGTTTTATGTGTATAATTTTTTGTACCAGGGATCAAACTCAGGACCTTGAGCTTGGAAGGGAGTTAAATCCCTGGCCCTTATATGATAATTTTTGTCTTACATCTCTGGCTAGTAAGTTCCTTTACTACATACTTTATGTCTATCCAGCATGTTCACTGCAGAGGTGGTTAGAGGAGTGGCTCCATTAATGTCAGTTTCACTGTTAAGGATACTTGCCATTTACAGTAAGTTTTACAGAGCCAAGCAGGTTCATGTTTGTGATATCTTATTAGTAATATTTTAATTTCATTGATCTCTTGCAATGATCTGAAGAAGCTCCTTTATTAATGAGTCAAAATGCATCTTAAGACACAGGTTCTAACAATATAAACCATTTGATTAATGTGACCTTGAAGAATTCACAGAAACTATTAAGATGCCAGGAGAAGGCTTATAAGGAAATATGATTAGTTGATTTGGTAAAGATCATATCTGGATTGCATGTGTTTTGCAATCATGATGATTGATGAGCACTTTCCATATTATGCTATACCATAAGATATCCTGGGTTTTCTGAATAATTTGTATCCCTGCCTTTTCTGACATGTATGGGATTGTTTGAACCCAGCTAATGTACTGATTTGTTGGTGGTTGCTGTATTGTACTTTAAAGGTATTGGAGTGTGTTCTTAAGAAAAACAAACCATTTTCATCTAACTAATTTGATAATATGATGTCTAGTACATAAATTAATCATTTAACAAGCTACCTGTTTAATGACTGATCAGAATTATGACTGAACCACACAGTTAAGACTTAAAACCCACTGCTCAGATTTACGAATCTGCTGTCTTTTCATTTTCTATAGTTCTGTACATCTTGTTGGTGGAGCCTCAATGTATTTATTTTGTACAGTACACCTTTTATAAAGCACTGCAATTTTTGCTTATGGTACTGCATAGTACAATACTTTAGTTTTATGTTCTTATACATTACAGTACTACATGTAAGAGTTATGTAAATAAAAGCAAAGTCAAGTTCAAGTTTCCTTTGACTATTTCTCTGTTCTGAATATTGTAATGTACAATGTGTTTACAATTCCTTAGTGACCAATTCATTTAACAAACTCCTCAGAGGACCAGAACTTGTCATGATGTGACTAGTGTCTGCACAGCTAAAAGCTCCGATGAAAAGAAAACAAGAAGCAAGGTCAATTGGTAAACCACAACAAAAAATGAGAGGTAAAGAAAAACAAAGAAGACACCAACAGAGAAAGAATGCAATAAGAGTAACTAATCACATCTCAGGAATACTTACATCTCAGGAATACTTCTCAATAGTAATGGCCTCAGTTCTCCCCTTAAAAGACACAGATTGGAAAACTGCCAAATTGCCAAAAAAAAAACCCCCCTCAAATCCAGCAGTATGTTGCATTAAAAAACTCATGTAATGCAAAGAAATATGCACAGACTAAAAATTAAAGAATGTAAGACAGGATTTCATGCACTGGGTTCCCTAAAACAATCAGGGGTAGCAATTTTAATCTCAGACAATGTGAACTTCAAGCTAAAGCTGATTAGAAGAAACAAAGGTCACTACATACTAGTTAAGACAACAGTCCAATAAGAACCATAATGTTTATAAATATTTATACATTGAATACTGGTGCACCTACCTTCATAAAACAATGCTGAACACAAAAGATCCAATAAATATACAATCATAAAGAAATATCAGTGATAAACCACACCCTTGGATATATGGGCTTAGTATTTACAGTGTATTCCATCCCAGTAAAGCAGAGTAGACATTCTATTCTGTAGCACATAGTACTTTTTCCAAAAAAGATCACACACTGGTCCATAAAGCCTCCTCAAATAAATAAAAGAATCAAAATCATCCTATGTGTACTATCAGACCACTACTGAATAAAAAGAGAAGTAAATGACAGAAGAAATCACAGAAAAGGTAGAAGAATATGGAAAATTAATCACATACTCCTATACAACCAATGGGTCATAGAAGAAATCAAGGTAGAAATGTAAACATTCCTGGAAGTTAATGGCAATGGCAGAACAAATCACTATAAACTTTGGGCCAGTCTGAAAGAGTCCTGAGTGGGAAGTTCACTCAATCAACATTCACATTAGGAAAATAGTGCAAGTTCAAATACATAACCTTATGGGAAATCTTAAGACACTTGAGAAACAACAATCCAGGGCAAGAGCAAAATTAAGGAGGGAAATTATAAAGATTAAAGCACAAATCAGTGAAATTGGGACAAGAAAATTCAAAATATCATCAGTTGAAGAGCTGATTCTTAGGATAAACAAAATAGATAAGTGCTTAGCCACACTTACCAAGAGAAAAAGAAAAAAGAAAAATGCTGTTGAAATCAAGAAG